CCCTCTGTCTTTTCTACAAATATTTTCATGGCAACTGCTTTGGCAAGCTTTTTTACCTGGTGTCTCAACTACATGATTTTAATCGTGTTACTAGATTGGCATCTAGGTCCCCTCCTTTTATTGTTGAAATAGTTAAATGTAACCGCCAATTATACCGACAGTTTCTTTTCTTGCACTTCCCGACAGTGGAACTCCCTTCCGTTTACTTACTTCCCTGAAAACTAAAATCTCTAAAAATTTAAATGCAACTGAAAACGCAATCTTGAACTCCGATTATCTTTTCCCCACTCCCCCTATACATAGTCTTTTCTCTCACTTTTACTCTCTGTAACTTTCTGATTACTAGTGGCATTCCCGCCTTGCTTGGGGATGAAATGATCAAAATATAATAAAATAAAATAAAATAAATAGAATATGCTCATTTCTAAAATCCAGAGAGAAACTTGACTTTATTGAAGAGTAGATCAACCAAACCTTTGCGATAGTGAAAAAGACAAGAAAATTGGTTTGACTGAATTATTGTCAAACGCTAACATGTGTATAAGGGTATTATTCGGCTCAACGTTGCCACCGAATGTGACACAAGGTCAAGGTTTAAAGTGGCTTTAACGGTAATACTGAGGAAAAATTGTCCAAGCCCCCCCCCCTCCCCCGGCACCGGGCAATGAACCTAGCTCCCATCACAAGAAGAGCTACTGCCTGGAGGAAAGAGCGTCTAGCTTAATATTTTAAAAAAATCCCTTTCGCCTATACAAGGTAACTAGATCCGCTATCCATTCCTCAATGACACCTAGACTTTATGAATTTAAGCGCAGTCAAAATCTCATCATTTTACAGTTGAAATGGTTAATAAGATCCAGTTAGAATAAACCAATTCCCAATTAAAACTATCACCGTATATCAACTAATACAGGGTTTCTCAAAGTAGACTCTGAAGACCGATTCTCTTGTTAGTTGATTTTTTATCTGAAAAAAAAAAAGTTTTCGTCTGAATCGTTGTTATAAATACAATACGGCTTCAGTCCACGAAATAAATAAAATAATGAAGTGATGTGTTTTGCATCATGTTGCAGAACTGAATAAAGCCCGTCTACAAAGAAACTGACCTAGGGTCACATTATACATTGGTGTTAGAATAATTATTCGAACTTAACAATCGGGTTCAAAGTCTGCACCATAGGTTCAGGATACTAATGTTTTAACTCGCGGCTATCGTTCATGTCATTTGTTTTGTTTTTTTTTTTTTTTTTTTTTTTTCATTTTGCGAAACTATAGCTGAATATATTTACACTTGAATTCTTAGGCCGTCACATTCTCTCTCTCCCCCCCACTCTCTTTCTATCTCTCTTTTTTCCCTCTCTACGGAATTCAAGTCGACAGATCGTCTGTCAATCAAGATGGAATGTTCAATCTAAATACCAGAACAACAAGGGAACCGAGAAGTCTAAGTAGCGGGTAGCAGTAGAGGAGGGGGGGTGAGAAAAAGATAGTAAGAAAAAAAGATCAAGGTGTGAGATTGATGTAAAAAGAAAGAAAAGACGTGTTCACCTCGACAGTAAAACAGTTTTACACACACACACACACACACACACACACACACACACACACACACACACACACACACACACACACACACACACACACACACACACACAGACAGACAGACAGAGAGAGAGAGAGACAATAGCAGTCACTCTTTCTCTCTCCCGCTACCTCTCTCTCTCTATATATATATCTGCTTTTCTTCCCAAATTCTTGTTTATTGGGTCAGCGTTGACCTTTAACCGATGCAGATTTTGGTTGAGGTCAGGCTGACATCTCAAAAGTTGGCTCAGTGCTAAAATCCACGATAATGTTACTCAGGAGCAAATTGATGACTGTAAAGCTTTGGTTGTATGCTTTTGCGCTTGCTTGTGTTTCTATCAATCCTTGTGGGTGTAACGGGGGTGTAATGGATAGTGGCTCGGAAATGAAAAGTCGGACGGCCGAGTTCGAATTCCAGTCGGATTTGTTATATTCACTTATCTTTGGGAAGGGTATAAATCCTCTCCTCACCCCAGCTATGGGTTAAATAGTATGATTTGTACCTGAAAAAACTCATTGATATTCTCACGCAAAAGAAAAAAAAATCTTACAATTCAAAATATGTTCCTGCTTTAAAAAACCCGCAAAGGTTGATAAGCCATAAAAAATCACCAAATTTGACCAAAATGTTATTTTATGCTCATTTATGCCTTTCTATTAATCTGCTATTTAAGATGACACTGCAGGTGTAAAGTGTGGCTTAGGAATGTGTTTTTAGCCAGTGCTATCTGTGATCTGTGACATTTGATGATTCCTAGGAAAATTCTTGGGATTTGTCTTCTCGCAAGCTGTTTAATGTAAATACGATGACAATGAGAGGTGTGACTCGACGCGCCTTCCTGCTGACATGGAAAGATTATATTGAACCAGTTGCTAGATCTACTGCCAGGAGAGTTGGTTCTCTGTGTCGTGCTGGACAATTTTTCCCGCCAGAATCTATCTTACATATTTATAAGGCTACCATACTTAGCATATTGCTGCCACATATGGTCTGATGCCCCTGGTATATATTTAGAGATCCTTGATAAAATCCGAAGAAGAATCTGGCCTGTCATCTCGCCATAATGTAGCTTCCCTTTGCCTTTGCTATAAATACATTCATTTTAATTGTTCTGATGAACCTTTTCAAATGGTCAGTCAGTTATGTGCCATGCGTGATACACGCTTAGGCGATCATGTATCTTTCGATACATGACTGACGTGGCAGATTTTTTCCCGCAGTAGGTTGCCATTTCTTTCTGCGGTAGATCATCCAAGTCTATGTAACCCAGTCTGTAGTCCGATTTACCCATAGCTGAGGGGAGAAGAAGAGAATCCATACCTTTCCCATGGGTATTAGCACGTAACTTGTAATCGATTCGACTGGAATTCGAACTCGATCCACTATCCATTACGCCACCGTGCCTCCCCCATTAGAACAGTTATGTGCCATACGTGATACACGCTTAGGCGATCATGTATCTTTTGATACATGACTGACGAGGCAGATTTTTTCCCGCAGTAGGTTGGCATTTCTTTCTGCGTGCGTTAGACCATCCAAGGCTATAGAACACGGTCTGTAGTGCAATAGCTGAGAGGAGAAGAAGAGGATTCATACTTTTCCCAAGGATATTAGCACGTAAGTGAATGTAATCGATTCGACTGGAATTCGAACTCAGATCCGCTATCCATTACTCCACCGTGCATCCACGATAGTACCTAGACTTTATGAATTTAAGCGCAGTATTTGGTTGGCGTCAAAATCACTTTACAGTTGAAATGGTTAAATGTAACCATAAGTTCTATGCTATCAGTTTCTTTTCTCGCACTTCTCGCTTGTGGAACACTCTTCCGTCTTCTTGTTTCCCAGACAAGTTTGATCTTCAAAAAGTGAAATGCAATGTCAGTCGTTATCTTCTGTTTTCTTCATTCCTGTTTTATTCTTCTCTCTTCTTAATATTTTCTTATATTCCTTCTAACTAATTAACGCCCTGCGTTTTATTATCAGGCTTTCTGATCTTGCTTGGGGGTGAAATGATTTAAAAAAAAAAAATCTGCTTGGCAATTTCCTCACAGATGAAGGGATGAGATGAATGATGCAATTCTAGAGAGGGGTACTGAAGATGCCTTGAACGGAACACGTGAGCAACGAGGAAGTTTAAAAAAACTTGAATAAAATTATACTTGTATGTTGGATTATATACAGACAGTTGAAATGGCTTGTAAAACTCTCCTCCAGCTTCTTGCTTTTCAGTCAATTTTTATCTTCAAAAATATAAATGCAACGTGAATCGTATTTTTCTGTCTTCTTTCTTGTTCTTTTATTGTTCTCACTCCTTTGCTCTTATGTTCGTCCACGCACAATAACTCCATGCATCTTAGTGGCATTCTTGCTTTGCTTGGGATGAAATGATAAAAATGCAACCTTGAAGGTGCATTGGTTAACACGTTTATCTCGCAAGCTATTGAAAGTTAGCTCGATGTTTTACAATTGAATTACAAGACCTATTTTTTAATGAAAATTATAAATGATCCTTTAACTTTCGTTCTTTATCAATTCTCTTTTTCAGTATCTGTCTATATTTCTGAGATGAGGTATTATGTACACTATATACATTATTCGGACTATTGTCCTCATCTTTGTTGCCATATTTATTACAACGTTTCGGCCCTTCAGTATCTGTCTATATTACTGAGACGAGGTATTATGTACACTATATACATTATTCGGACTATTGTCCTCATCTTTGTCGCCATATTTATTACAACGTTTCGGCCCTTCAGTATCTGTCTATATTACTGAGACGAGGTATTATGTACACTATATACATTATTCGGACTATTGTCCTCATCTTTGTTGCCATATTTATCACACCGTTTCGGCCGTTGTACGCTCCGGCCTTTTTCAGGTGGTTGGAATGTCGAACTGAATCCTTTATTTCGCTCACTGGGGTAGACTGTTCTAGTTCTACATGTCATGTCATGACTTCATTTTTATTGTAAATATGTTAATTTTAACTTTATATATCTTGATAAAACTTCTCTTCATTTTAATATATTGTTAGGTCTCCGACAATAATCCTTTATCCTACTCAAGTTTGGAAAAGTCTGTTCTTATTGACGAAATCTACGAGACGACTGTCTTTTCAGTTTTAATAGTTTATGCAGAAGACATACACTAGTTTATCTGTTTTAATAAAAGGATGTTTACTAATAACATGGATGACTTCATTCGGGCTTACGAGATTGCATATAGGCTTTTAGCGCTTGGTCGTTGAGGAAGAGATTCTAAGGATATACGTACTTTTATCACTTTTCCTTGCATGAAACATGTGGGCAAGAAGAAGAAAGATGGCATCAGACAATAGCAAGACGTGAAGAGCATCCTAACTGTCATTGAAGAAGGTCAGCTGAGATGATATGGGCAGGTCCGGTGAATGGATGACTCAAGAATCCCGAAACGTTGGTACAATTGGAAATCGACGATGAAGAGTCTAGTGGGACGTCCCAGTCAAAGATGAATCCAAAACATCACAAAGGCCTGTAGAACAACAGGGATCCACCGTAGCAGACATCGAAAGGGCCAAGTTCTTTTTAGGCGGAAGAGCCTGGAGTTGTTTCTGGACGAACAGGATGCAACACACACCTGGAGTTGAGTGAGAAGAAAAATGAGAAGCGTTTATAAAATGTGCAGTCGTTTTTTATATTCCTTTAAAATGAAGCTTATTACACGTACACATCGAAAATTCTCTATGACACCACTCGATTATTATTATTATTGTTATTGTTGCTAGTGTTTATGTTACTGTTGGTTTTTTGCTGTTATGTGTAACATCAATTGCTCCCAAGAGACTTCAATCGACAACAATTTTTTGTATCAGGCTTTTTATATCTATCTATCTATCTATCTATCTATCTATCTATCTATCTATCTATCTATCTATCTCTAATACATTTCGCCCAAGACTGTACCACTGTACAGTTCATATCTATCTATCTATCTATCTATCTATCTATCTATCTATCTATCTATCTATCTCTTATACATTTCGCCCAAGACTGTACCACTGTACAGTTCATCTCTCTCTCTCTCTCTCTCTCTCTCTCTATATATATATATATATATATATATATATATATATATATATATAATACATTTCGCCCAAGACTGTACCACTGTTCATAGTTCATCTATCTATCTATCTATCTATCTATCTATCTATCTATCTATCTATCTATCTATCTATCTATCTATCCCTAAGAGAGTTTGTGCAAGACTGTACTCTTCATATCTATCTATCTATCTATCTATCTATCTATCTATCTATCTATCTATCTAGCTCCAAGACATTTCGTCCAAGACTGTTCATATCTGTCCGGTTCACACTCCTCTCAAATCGTTTGAATAGAAGTAGAGGTTTAGCTCTTGTTTCCTTTTAAGGATTGGGTTTCCGGTTCCTTCGAAAAATTATTTTTCTTTATATCCACTTACGGTGGCCAATTGAATCTTGGTGGCATTATCACCTTGCTTGGGGTGTTGCCACTTACTCTGTAACCCTCTACTTCGAGTGGTACTTGCGCCTTGTACAGTGTGAATATCATTGTAACAAATAATTAGTTAAATTTTCGTTTTGTTGCTGTTATCCTATAAGGGGACTGAGTGAAAAAGGTTATTGAAGGAGTTAACAGGCTCTTCACTCTTGCATAATGATCTCGCTTACTTGCTATATTCATTGTTAACATTAACAAATAGCGTCTATTTAAGTCTTTGGTGTATAAAAGAATCTGCAAGTAGATTTTTATTTCTCTCCCAATTTTTATTTTTTTTTATTCTGTGAAAAAGAATATTGGCACTCGTTTCTCTTTGGAATACAGAAAGCGTTTCCGCATTAGTCTCAGTTTACCACCGATAAGCGCAAAAATACATCCTAATGCTAATTTGCTGTTAACAATGACGTGGTTGCGACATTAGTTAATTTCATTTATACCTAGAGCAATTACATGGCATTTTGGGTTTCATCCATTAAACCACGCTGTGTCCTTCGGATGTCATTTCTCTCTCGAGTGATATGGCCTGTTCCCCGTGGCTGGGAACAGAATTATTTTCAAAACGCACAGGTGTGATAAATCAGCCGTGGGGTCAGCTCGACCCCCCAACGGCTAAGCAGTTGTTATGACAGACTATCAAATTATGAAAATAACCCTTGACAAATTAAACAGGTAATATGATAGTTGAATAGCAGCGTAGAATTTCCTTTCATAAATGTGTATTTAACATAATTACGCTGCAGATCTTAATTTGCAATGAAACGCTCTGTTTGCTCCAGTCTATAATAAGGCGAGTGTGCTGGGACCGAGATTGTCTTTAAAATAATAAAATAATGAAATATGTTGTAAAAGTACAAACGATGGAGGCTTACGGCGATATCAGGTTGAAATACCGGTTCCTGTACGATCACCGGCGTTGAACAATGTCGAGCCTAATCAGTACCTAAATGAGTGACCGCTTCGCAATATCAAGTGCTGTAACCTTGGATGCGAGGGTGGTGTAATGGATAATGGTTTGGAATTGTTAATCGGAGAGTCGAGTATTAATTCCTGTTGCGTTCTTTATATTCACTTATGGGTGAATATCCCTTGGGAAAGGTTTGAATCCACTTCTTCTCCCCCTCAGCTATGGATTAATTAGTAAGACTTGCATCACTAAATTATTATTATCTCAAAAAAATATTATTACAATCTAGAAATATTTTCTGGATTTAAATAAGCTGCAAAGCCGTTAGAAAACGAATCATTCACTGAATCATGAAAAAGTCATTGTGCGTTTCCTTGGGTAGTGCATCTCCACGAGTGACCCAAGGTTTCCTCTGAGATAGATGATTTTATCGTGTTGCCATCTCTAGAATGTTTGCCTACCAGGGCTAAGAACCTAGTCTGTCCTCTTATTGATTCCATAAGTGGATTCTTGCGGCTTTGTGCCAAACTTAGATGTTTTTGGTTACCTTTTCCGCTCCTCATCGCCAAGATTCGGGGACCACGGGTAATTGTTACAGTTTTGAATTCAGAACTTGTCCAAATCCTAGACTAGTCACTAAGCCTTGCTTGAGAGCCTAATCTTCCCTGCTATTTAACTCATAACTGGATGGACAGAAGAGATTGATTCATACATTTCAAGGGTATTTGCACGTAAGTGAGTGCAATGAACTCGATTGGAATGCGATCTCGGCTCCCCGATTTCTTATTCTCATTAGAATGTTTCAGTCACGTGTTGTGGTGTGGCATTAAAGTCACCGAAGACAAACATGTTCAAAGATAGATGGAGAGCAAGTGCCTTTTCTTTATTGTTAGCTATTGCGTCTAATATACAGCAGTCTTGGGAATAGTGGGGTACGATAAAGGAAAAAAGAGATAGCTGACAGAGTTTAGTAGCACATGAAAGAGTAGCCAGAAGCATCGAGAGAGACAGTTCTCGGGCCATCGGCAGATTATCCCGGATGTAAACACCAAGGCTCTGTATATGAATGCTGGAATCTTTTCAGCAAAGGGGAAGATACCCTGAAACCATGAATTCACTGATAGAAATGGAAGGATTCAAGTTGGTTTCACAAAGGACAAAGGATAAAAAATTCTACGTTGCGGAGGTTTACTACACTCACAAAACTTGTTAACTGGGAAGACTTCTATCCCCCCACCCGCAAATTACTACTATAGTGCAACCTCGATTCTCGAACGTCCCACATGTCGAACAAATCGGTTTTCGAACAGAAAATTCGAGATGAAAATGTCTCGGTTATCGAACAAAATTTCGGTTCTCGAACAACATTGTCGAACCGAATTAACCCGAACGGAATAATTTCTGAGTCGACCACCATGTTGTATATATTTGTGTGTGGTACCGTGCTTTTCTATTCCAATTTTATTGTTTGGTGACTTTTTTTTCTCTGCTTTGATTCCTATTAGAAAAATAGTTTCGGTTTACGAACATTTCGGGTTACGAAAGGCCTTCAGGAAAGAATTAAATTCGTGAACCGAGGTTCCACTGTATTTTGTACTCTTTTTTTTACAACCAAATAAAAGCTGTTGAACAGTTATTTTCAAGATGTTGGCTTTTTGTTCATTGCACTCACATTGCCGAGCACAAACACGCACGCGACCGGAGAAAATCCCAACACAGTGCAAAATAGCGGCATTGCTTGGCATTTACTAAAGAGTGAATGAACGTAGAAATAACTTTTACGCTTAAAAAAACCCAGTTGAAAGAGAAGTGTCTCTTCAAAGAAAAAATATGCGAAGCCGACAAACGTACAATTGAAAGGAAAAGATACACCCGTTGATGTTCTCATCGCGGAAGCTGAAAAGAACAAAAGTAAGTGTATCCTCCTTTTCCCACGTTTGGCCAGCTGGTGAGTTTATTAGTGTTTAAATGTTAAATCGTACAAACCTACTTTTTGTTGTATTCCCTTCCCCCTTCACTTAAAACTCAATTTCTAAGTTTTCTTAATGTAAAAAGTAAAGAATGGTCGTAAAAACTTAAATGAGTTAAAAACCTAAGGAGAATTTATGTCTTCTGCCTTAAAAATTTATTTCCAATGTAAATTGGAATTGACTGAAATAAAAATTCTGTTTTCGTGAAAAAATTATTATGTGTTCATTTAGTATTTAAAACTAACGTTATTGAAATGTGTTAGCTTTGAAAGCTAAACTGGAAAATATTATTGTTGTGGATTCCGAGATGAAATCCGGTCTCAAATGAATGACAAACGCAGGAATGAAATACAGTGTAACCCGGATGTAAGAGAGTTGTCGGGACCGGAGAAGAAGTCTCTTATACCCGGGTTTCTCTTATATCCGGGTTTGGTCGATTTTATATACATTAACACAGGCTCTAATTTGGGACCAGAGAAAATCTCTCTTATATCCGGGTTTCTCTTATATCCGGGTCTAGCAAATAAATGTATTGACGCAATAATACAATTGGTAATACAGTTAGTAGATCCAGAAATGCCGTTAGTAGCAATAATAATATATATATATATAGTCTGGGAAATTCAGTATCGAAGTAGAACTTCCTTTTGAGTCTACGTGCTCGCAACTGTGACTCCTACAAAGCGGTTACCTCACACTCTCACTCTCTCACTGTTCACTGTATCAGTGTATCTCTGTTGCTCCTATTCACCGACAGTAGTACAAATACACACTGGTCGAGTCCACTTGTATGAAAAAGGGGTGGACCCCTTAACAGTTATGTCTTTTATTTATTAAAAAATAAAAAAATATTCAGTACTAGTTAAATGCAGTAACAAAAATTGTGTTTTCGTAAAATAATAATAATAATAATAATAATAATAATAATATCGATTTACATTCATTATTTAAAACTGAAGTTACTAAAATGTGTTAACTTTAAACACTAAGACGACATAAATGTGGGTTCTCTTTGTCGTGCCATAAAGTTTTTCTCGTCCGAGTCCATCCTTCAAAACTATAAATCAACCATTCGTCTTTGCATGGAATATTGCTGTCATATATGGTCTGGTGCCGCCGCTGTACGTCTTGAGGTCCTCGACAAAATTCTAAGCTACATTCGCTGGTTCCCAGATTGCATGAATTTTTAACAAGCAAGAACGAAAGGGGATCATACAGTAGATAGATATGCCCTCCTGACAGGTTTGAAGAAAACATTTGGATGCCTCATAAACGTGTGTTTAAATCTGAGGACCAAACAACTTCGGAAATACGACCTGTCCTTAATTGTTTGCTTACGATGAAAGAGGCCCCTTTGTAACGACCAGCAGCGATCATCTGCAACGACCAGCAGCGATCGACTACCCTTAACTTCGACTTGAATAACCTTTCCCGTATACTATCAGTTATAATAACTACGGGAGGTTTCAGCATCGACCTCGACCGGCATGTACGCAACGTCTGTATCTCAACTCCCAACCGTCGACACGAGTGGAACGCCTGCATCACAACTCCCAACCGTCGAGACGGCCGGAACGCCTGCATCTCAAACTCCCAACCGTCGACACGAGTGGAACGCCTGCATCACAATTCCCAACCGTCGACACGACCGGAACGCCTGCATCACAACTCCCAACCGTTGACACGATTGGAACGCCTGCATCACAACTCCCAACCGTCGACACGACCAGAACGCCTGCATCTCAAACTCCCAACCGTCGACACGAGCGGAACGCCTGCATCACAATTCCCAACCGTCGAGACGGCCGGAACGCCTGCATCACAACTCCCAACCGTCGACACGAGCGGAACGCCTGCATCACAACTCCCAACCGTCGAGACGGCCGGAACGCCTGTATCACAACTCCCAACCGTCGACACGACCGGAACGCCTGCATCACAACTCCCAACCGTCGACACAACCGGAACGCCTGCATCACAACTCCCAACAGTCGACTCGACCGGAACGCCTGCATCTCAACTCCCAACCGTCGACACGAGCGGAACGCCTGCATCACAACTCCCAACCGTCGAGACGACCGGAACGCCTGCATCTTAACTCCCATCCGTCGAGACGACCGGAACGCCTGCATGTCAACTCCCAACCGTCGACACGACCGAACGCCTGCATCACAACTCCCAACCGTCGACACTACCAGAACGCCTGCATCTCAACTCCCAACCGTCGACACGAGCGGAACGCCTGCATCACAACTCCCAACCGTCGACAAGACCGGAACGCCTGCATCTCAACTCCCAACCGTCGACACGACCGGAACGCCTGCATCTTAACTCCCAACCGTCGAGACGAACGGAACGCCTGCATCTCAACTCCCAACCGTCGACACGACCGGAACGCCTGCATCTCAACTCCCGACCGTCGACACGACCGGAACGCCTGCATCACAACTCCAACCTTCGACACGCCCAGTCCGACCACCTTTATATTACTAGACCAATCTAACCCACGGCCTCTACTCTGTGAATGAACTTAACATTAATAATACATATCCTCGTTCTTTTGTGTATTTTATTTTACCATGTCAGATTTCACGTCTTTAATTCGAAAATGTTAGCGGGCCTCTTGTTACCTCATACCGATACGGAGCGCTCGGGCCGTTTTCATATCGCCCCCTCCAAGGGGGTCCTCTACACTAAATAAAGCTACCTCCCCTAGTATAAACCTCATGGAAAACATGTTGCAATAATGGCCTGAGGAAGTTTCTGAAAGATTTATACGAGATCATCTCCACCAAAAGAGTCAAAGTTGATGATGCGGTTCTGTTTAAAAAACCCTACCAAAAGCAGACCATTTTGTCTTCTGGTTAGAGTTCTGGAGATCATTAATGCTGATGACAACACATCCTGCCTAACTTAACACCTCTCCTGAAAATAGTAATGAAAGTCATGGTACACTCAATGAGCTTGTAGCTCCATGCCAAGACCCAAATCAACCTTCTGAATCCAACACCCAGACTCTGAGGCGCTCCCTACGAGTCAATCGAAAAAGAAGACATTCGTTAAATGATTAATTAATTAATCGTTTAAATTACTATTTTAGCACACCTAGTTCAAGTAATATTTTTAACGTATTAAACAGTTGATTTTGGATAACCCTCAAAACATGATATATCCACATTCGTTATTAATAAGCTTAACAAACTTACAGCTTTAAAACTACATGCGCATTCATTTCTACATGATATGATTAGGATAATGGGGCATACACAATAAATTCTTTATTGCGTTCATTTCTAAGGGGAAGATATAAAAACTATCTCACTTGTTGGCTGTTGTGGCATATAGGGACTTCCTTATTTTGCTCAGCAGCAGCAGCGGAAATTACAACCTGAAGTCACTGAGGTTATAAAAGACTTGACTGAGCCCTATTTGGCCTCTTTTTCATTCAATTTCAGCTGACTCTATATCCACAGCCAACTCTCCCGCTTTTTCATCTTCCATTTCAGTAGCCTCTATTTCGGCCAGCTCACTTTTCCATTTCTCACTTTCAGTGGTCTCTCCTTTCGAGACACCTTCCGCGGGGATACACGCAACCCTTGCCGCCAAAGACGAGGCCTTTCTTAGCAGCTTGACGTTAAATTTATCGTTCTTCCCGCAGGAACCGGCGGAGAAATCTACCTTCAAAACACCCACCAAAGGAATACATTCAACCTTGCTATGTCAGACACTAGCACTGTTTCTTCAGATATAGCATCCACATCTACAACCATTCTTGCTACCAATCATCCGGTTTCAGCAGACAAGCCATCATTGCATGTTGCTGCTGCCGGTGACATTTTACAAAAGGAAATAACCTAATTTGTAACAATAAAGGAGTTTGCAATCCAAGACACAGATCGGGGGCTATAGAACATTAACCATACTAACACAATGAATTACTGAATTCTTAGTGGGCCCTCATCATATCATAATCATGATAGCAACCTTTCAAACTCACGCAGAGTATATAAAACAGATGGTGTAGAGAATATGAAGGCAAGGTATGTTACAGTTTTTTTTATATATGTCTGTACTAGTGAGCCAACCAAAATGAGCTGACTCATTTTATAGTTCACCAATAGAAAGGTTAACCAATCAGAAAGCTCAAAATATTCAATCCGACGTGTATAAAGGCAGCCATTTTGTTTTTTCTCCCAAAATATCTTCACTGCCAACCTCTGATATCGAAGACTTAAAGAATTACTTAGCAGATGCTACTTTCTCCGAATCTTCACTGCCAACCTCTGATATTGAACACATTACGGACTTCACTGGATTCTATATTCAGAGACTACGGCAAACATGTTTAACAAGGTATTTATCAAACAATGTGTTCAAACGTGAACTGCGGAATG